CACACACACACACACACACACACACACACACACACACACACACACACGGGGTGGGAAGAGAGAGAGAGAGAGAGAGAGAGAGAGAGAGAGAGAGAGCGAGCGCGCTGTGAGGGATAGAGGGCACCATAGACAGACAGTCTTCTTTTATTTTTTCAAAAGTCTTTAAAATTTCTAGGGAACTATGGTCTTAACCTAATCTTATTTTCTTAAATGCTAAGTCTCTAGTGGTATATTTTCAGGAAGTTCACACAATTTCTGTGATGAGAGTGGGATTATCAAGCTCCGGGAGGCAAAAAGAAAATCCATTTTAATTAGTAAGATTTTCCAGAGGCACATTAAGCTAAGGAATTGGTACTTAATTCCATTTTAAAAATTCTGTCAGGAAGAGAGAAGAAGGAAGTTTCCCAAATGAGGTGTTTATGTAACTATTAAAAGGATCGGAAGTCAATTCTCTGAGCAAACAACTTCACTTATTCTGTCTCCTCAGGTTCTAGAAACACAGAGGCACTTGCCACTTCCTGAAGGGGCTCCAGGAAGTTGCCTTTATACGTGGGAATACAGAGTGATGTTGAAGACTATGAGCACTGCATAAAAATTATCATTTAATACTTCTTCCCTTGACAACTCTAAAGCCACTCTATTCCTCTCATGACTGAGCTATTTCAATAGAGATGAGAAGGTGAGCAAGCACGAGAAGCAGGGCGAGAAGAGCTTCTTATCTGTGGTCTAAAATTAAAAGTGCCACTTTTTACTGAATGAAAAGAAATAAAGGAAGAGGCATTTGTGTAATATGTATCTCTACTCAGCAAAGAATGGTTAGGAGTGAAGCATAAATGTATAAAACTATATGAATTGGGACATTTTACATATTTGTTAATGAATAAAAACCACTAAAAAGATTAAGGCTTTAGATATTAGAAATCAGTCAGATTTGGATCCAACTCATGGCTCTACCAATAACTTGCTATAGAACCACAACCAAGTTCTTCCATCTTTCAGTTTCCTAACCCACAGAATGAGAAAATATCTATGCATATACCCTGTCATTAAGACTACAAATAAAAAGGCATGTCAAGGCAAACACTGGCATAAAGACCGACACACAGGAAGGACTCAGATGCTGGCTTCTGGTATGATTATTAATTTAACAGACTGTAAAGTACTATCAGACAAGACCAGGAAAACTTCTCATTCTTTGGGGGAAACTGATGTTAGGGTTGAGAGACTCTTTAGTTTGAATGCAAACGTCTAGAGGTTTCATTTCAAGAAATGAAACTATGTAACTTATTACCACAAAGCAAATAAGAACTGTTTTAGTTATGAAAACTAGACAGTGTCTCAGATTTCCTTTTTGTTTTGGTTTTACTTTAGACTGACTCTTACTACACTTCCCAGGCTGGCCTTAAACTCCTGGTCCTTCTTGCTTTGACTCCCTAGTGCTAGGATTTACGCAGGTACTACTATACCCAATTTCAGGTTTACTATTTTAAATTAATAGCTAGAGACAAGAGGTGATGAGTAAGAAGGCAACATCAATAGCAAGAGAGAAGTTAACATTTTTTTTCCCAACACAAGAAAAATAACAAAAATCTGCATCTTCTTGTCAAACAATTCAATTTATTATTATCTTTTCTTGTTCAGGGTAAAGGAAAAGGAATGTCCACAGGAATAGAAATTCACAGAAATCTGAAATTACCAAAACACTTCTTGCTAACACCAGGATTATTCATGATGTCCCAAAATGTAATTTTGTAGTTTAGTGGTGATGGGCCATGCCTTTAATCCCAGCATTCAGGAAGCAGAGACAGGCAAATCTGAGTTGGAGGGCAGCCTGATTTACATTGCAAGTTCCAGGATTGCCAGAGTTACACAATGAAACTCTGTTTTGAGCTTCCCTTCTCCCCTCCCAAAAAGAAAATGATTTTTGTGTTGAAAAAGTCAACAGTTTATAAAAAGAAATGATTGTGCACGTTAAAAAAAAAACAATATATGGTAAATATACCTGCTTCTTTTAAACTGCTGCATTTCTGATATATAGATGTCCTCAGGGTAGGTGCCCTCACATTATACAATCTGATCTTTTCAATCCGAGAATCAAAGACCCGAAGCAGAGGGTCTTTCTCTTCCCATTGAGACATGATTTTATTATCAATAAATGTGGCAAACATCTGTGTTTCAATGAAGCGTGAAAGAAATGGCAGGTAAGGCTCAGGCTGGTCAGAGAGGAAAGAAGCCTGTAAAGAGATAATTGGCAAATTATTACTTTTATGTTAATATTATAAAAGATGAAACTGAAGTTTGTTGTTAAGGTCATTACTTTTCAAACTTATTACACATAAAACTGATACTTGGCATTTAAAAAGTCTTGCAAATCTGTTTGTTTTTCTTTTTCCCTAAGTTATAGACTTTAGGTCACTTAGGGCTTTGGTATTGATCTTACCTTTTGGAACTGATTTATATTAGTATCCTGATGACCATAATGGAGAATAGAGAACATTAGCGAACGATGGTGGGTATGTCACTATACAATGGATTGTCAACCACTCACTTCATTTACCATTACATTGTGATTCTTCTCCCCTGTGAGTAATCTCTTCTGTACTCTGATTCCAGCTTAGGAAATGAACGTCTACCAGACGGCTGCTAGATGTATAACTGAGATATATATGTATATATTACAGTAATTTGCATGATTATTCAAGAACTTAAAAATGACAGTGTAGAATTTGTGCCTATTGATAAAGTTCTTTTGGTCAAGTAGATGTTTTTCTAGGCTCACTCTTGTTAACTCAAGATCAAACTCAGACACAACTGTCTGAGAACATTGCCTAAAAACAAAAAAATCATAGAAGTGGACCTTCAAAAACATACAGGCTATTATTTTCTTCTACTAGCCTGTCTGATATAATTTTTTTGTTTTGTTTTTCGAGACAGAGTTTCTCTGTGTAGCCCTGGCTGTCCTGGAACTCACTCTATAGACCAGGTTGGCCTTGAACTCAGAAATCTGCCTGCCTCTGCCTCCCAAGTGCTGGGATTACATAAAGGCGTGCACTACCACTGACCAGCCTGATGTAATAATTTATAATTGGATTTTAATCTTAAGTGTTCACATTTTTTTGTGCTCTGCAGGTTCATGTGTGAGTATGTAGGGATTCTAATTGGTTAATATCAGCTCAAACTTGTAACTGAATTCCTGTTTTACTCACTGTGTTGGTTTGCTTTTCATTCTTTCACTCTTCAGAGTGGACTCGGTGTATCAGAGCCCAAAGAAGACACAGATGGGGGCAGTTCTGACATAGATGGGGAACAGTTCTGACACAGATGGGGGCAGTTCGGACACAGATGGGGGGCCGCTCTGACTGGGGGGGTGCAGTTGAAACATAAGATGCTTTGCTTAGTACTCACCATCTACTTCCTGGCATATCTAAGTTTTCCATCTCAATACTTTAGGAGACTTTTAATAAAACCTTCATAGAATCCACTTTTCAATTTAGGTGCTTCCAGAGTTTGAATGCAATTATGTAAGTCCAAATACCCAGACAGACTCACAGTACTCTCTAGAAATCAGTTCACCTCCTTAAGTGCTATTTCACAGATGAACATCAAATTTACTTTTTATAGAACAGAATATGGCCTCCCCCTCATCAGGCCTTTGATTTTCAGATTCTTGTGTTCTATAAAATTTAAAATCAACCAGAAGTTGGCTTGCAAGACTACTATGCCCTTTATATTTCCTTTGTAAAAAGTAAGAAGTCCACAGCGTTCTGGAACCTAACATGTACTTTTCATTTTCTTTTTTTTTTTTTTTTTTTTTAAAATTTTTATTTATTTATTATATGTAAGTACACTGTAGTTGTCTTCAGACACCCCACAAGAGGGCATCAGATATCATTATAGATGGTTGTGAGCCACCATGTGGTTGCTGGGATTTGAACTCATGACCTCTGGAAGAGCAGTCAGTGCTCTTAACCACTGAGCCATCTCACCAGCCCTACTTTTCATTTTCTTAGGGGTTATACAGAAAGAACCCCACTTCTAGTATGAAACTACATAAAGCATAAAAAAGAAAAAGGCACTAGGATATGAACTTAAATCAGAATCTGAACTGCTCCAAAGACAGATCATGAATACATAAGTTTAGTTCTTAAGCTGGAGAAAAATTATAGTAAAATTAAGCAAAAATGAAGGCAGCTCATAGGGCAGAAATATATTTCAAAAAAAGGTTTCTCAACATTAAAAAAATTTAATCAAGCATTAAGTACACCAGTAAATCCTGATGCACATAATACATTATCCTCCATAGGAAAAAAGATCTGGTGAAATCAGAAAATAATCTTTGATACTACACAAACATTTAGTAAAAACCTATTTGTCAGATGCTCCAAAATCAAACATTTAGCATCTTGGAGTGTAATGGCTCCTTTGGGAGTTCTTCTATGACACGTTCTAACAGCAGAGTGATGTTTGTTCAGTAACAGAGGCAGAGGACTGAACTGCATCCCCGTGGCCTAAAAGACTTCCTGGGCATCTCTAGTGCTGTGTCTGTTGGAGAAACCTGGGGCATATGAACAACACTGGACAGAAGGCAGCACACCTGGAAAGTCACTTCCACAGGACAGTAAAAGCTGATACATTTTCTAGTCTCCTTTTCTAAAAACTCTAGAACATAATCCTAGAGTAACGGTCATGAAACCCAATTTATTCATTCGTTCTCTTTTAGGATACGAAAGACATAAAAATTAGGCTTATGAAACTCAACTGTTACCTTTACACGAACAAACTGTGACCTATATCACTGGGTGAAAACTAAACTATCAGTAAGAATCTCTTTTTTTGTTTTTTTTTTTTTTTTTTGTTTTTCAAGACAGGGTTTCTCTGTTTAGCCCTGGCTGTCCTGGAACTCACTCTGTAGACCAGGCTGGCCTCGAACTCAGAAATCCGCCTGCCTCTGCCTCCCAAGTGCTGGGATTAAAGGCGTGCGCCACCACTGCCCGGCTCAGTAAGAATCTCTTAGAAAAAAGGAACAGGTTTAGTTTTTTTTAGACTTAGTCATAAAACAAGTGAAAATCAAAAAACTTGCAAAAATCAAGTTCCTATAATTTAAACATTGTTCAAGTACAGAAAGTTAAGATATAGCAATTTAATACACAATTTAAAGGCCAGTTTTATGAGCGGTCAATTTGCTTTTTTGTTTTTGAGACCGGTCTCAGGTTTCTCAGGCTGTTCTCAAACTTACTACAAAGCAGAGGACAGCCTTGCATTCCTCTGCTTCTACCTCCCAAGGACTTGTTCTCTTGTGAAACTATTTTATCTAGCATAAAGTACCTAATGGAATGGAAAAAAAAAAAAAAGGAAAAACTTGTGTTTAAAAAGCAAAAAAGAGCCGGAGCCGGGCGGTGGTGGCGCATGCCTTTAATCCCAGCACTTGGGAGGCAGAGGCAGGCGGATTTCTGAGTTCGAGGCCAGCCTGGTCTACAGAGTGAGTTCCAGGACAGCCAGGGCTACATAGAGAAATCCTGTCTCGAAAAACAAACAAAACAAAACAAAACAAAACAAAACAAAGCTAAAAAGATCCTCTTGGAGACGGGGTGGGGTGGGGGTGGGGGTGGGGGAGGGAGGAGGAATGGGAAGAGGAACTGGGAAGAGGGTGGACCAGGAAGGGGATAATGACTGGACTGTAAAAAAAAAAAAAAAGAACCGATTAAAGATAATTTAGAAGGAAGGAAAGAAAGAAAAAAAGAATGTTATTAAAAAAAGTTAAAAAGAGTAGTAGTTTAGGCTGTTGATAATCATAAGGAGGAAAACTATAGTTCTTTTTACTTTGTCAAAGTTCTGCATCTGTTCCCGATTGGTCAGCCAGGACTCCATGTCCTGGGCAGTCTGAATCACAAATGCTTCATAATCTGCAAACATCTGTGTAAAGCGGTTAGCAAAGACCTCTCGCAGCTGTACATTGAGCTGGTAGTCCCTCAAGTCTGCCTCTTCACACTGCAACTTTAAATCCTTTTCTTTTTCATTCAGAGAAGCTGGGAGGTCAATTTTTTCCATAGTCACTCCAGTCCTCTTGGCAAGAGCCTGGAGGCGGGCTATGGTTTCACTGCCCTTCAGTAACTCATACACGCTGACGCTGTTGTTGGGGACATTTCCATTCTTTTTGTCATTAGCCAAATCTTTCAGAACCATATTCTTCAATTTGGTGGCACTCTCACTACAATGTAGGTTGCCCTCGGGAGGAATCCCAAATTGGAGAAGAACTTCAGACAGCTCTTGGATAAAATCCACTTTATTGGGGAACTGTGGAAATTCTTCAGGCAACTCAATAAAATGGTTGTCAATATCTACGAAGCACAGATTAGCCTGAAATGGAAAAAGAGAAAAACAGAAAGGGGTTTTTTAACTCGTACAAGGCTGACTGATTAAAACTGAAGTGATTTCAAGGGCTCCAATGTTGCAGATCCAGAGCCAAATTATCTTGTGCTATTTTTTGCCTCCTGAATAGCATTACTGCCCATCTGTGTTTGGCCTAACATTTTTATAAGTACCAATGAGACACTTTAGCTTCTACCAACCTAAAGACTAGGAATGTCAACAATTAATATTTGAGGCCTATAGCAGAGACTTCCCTGCTTTGCTGTAACCTGCTTACCTCTCTAGTAGCAGTAAAAACAAAAATTGAAGTCAGGCATGGTAACACACATCTTTAATCCCAGCACTCCTGAGACAGTGGAAGGTGGGTCGCTGAGTTCAAAGGCAGTCTGGTCTACATAGTGAGTTCCAGGACAGCTACATAGTGAGACCAAATCACAAGGAAAAAGGAAGTCTGCTCCCTCTCTCTGCCTGCTTGATCTCACTCTTGCTAGCAAGTCCATTCTGTCATTGGCATTAGAGCCTACTTCTTCAGGATTCTAGTGTATACTGAAGACCAGCTGAGAAATCCAGCCTCATAGACTAAGTAAGCAGCTACTGGATTCTTGGACCTTCTGTTGGTAGACAGTCATTTTAGACTAGGAGGATCAGAGCCTGTAAGGCATTCTAATAAATTCCTTCTCTTTCTCTCTGTATATAATTTCCCCCTCCATTCATACGTTCTGTTCCTCTGGAGAACCTTGATTAACACAATCATGTAGATAGCAAACTGCCCCTCAGGAAAGCTGTCTGTTTTACTTAAAGACTTGTCGAAAAGATGGGAGGAATAACTATCTCTTTAATGAGATAGGTACTTACATGCCCTAGAAGCCTTCCCAAACGGTAGTTACTTACATATCCTCAAGGCTAACTAAACCTTTGCTTTCTAGGAAAGTCTCTCTTTCTTATCTTTTTTTAAAAAATTTACCTTTTCAGATGCTGACCACAATTCTAAGTCAGTTACCTCTGAGCATCTTTACTGTCCTTCTGAAGGCCCTGTCTCCCATGCAGGTGGTAGAAGAATGTCAGTGCTGAATCTGCCACTGTTTTGTAATGCAAACGCAACTTTTTTTTTTTTAAATCTATGTAGATCTTCCCAGACTGTGAGATTTTTACCATGCCTAGTATTGTTTTTCTCTCAAACTCTAATTGTCTTTAAGTTTCTTTCTGAGTTGTCTTATTTTATGAGACTAAGAATTGGTAAAAGGGACTATTCCCTGGCAATAATATTTGTCTTTGTGAGCAGGCTTTTTTTCTAGTTCATTCATTTTCTATCAAATGAAATAACTTCCTTTTGTGTCTGAATAAAATTTCATTGTGTATGCAAGCCACATTTTTCTGATTATTCTATTTGTGGTTACTGATCCCCTATCTTGGCTACTATGAATAATGCATCAATAAGCATGGAGGTGCAGGGATCTCTGTGGTACTTGGACTTAGATTCCTTTGGGTGTATACCCAGGAATGTTATAGCTGGATCATAAGGTAGTTCGATTTTTCATTTTTTTAGGGACTTCCATAGTCACTTTCATATTGGCTTTATTAATTTATATTCCCACCAGCAGTGTGTGATGGTTCTTCTTTCTCCACATTCTCACTAGTATTTGTTATTTCCTTTCCTTTCTTTTTTTTTTGGTTTTTCGAGACAGGGTTTCTCTGTGTAGCCCTGGCTGTCCTGGAACTCACTCTGCAGACCAGGCTGGCCTCGAACTCAGAAATCTGCCTGCCTCTGCCTCCCAAGTGCTGAGATTAAAGGCGTGCGCCACCACCGCCTGGCTATTTCCTTTCTTTTTATTTTTTGAGACAAGGTCATATAAACCAGGCTAGCCCTACCTTGCTATGTAGCTAAGGCTGGTATACTGCTTCAACTTCCCAGGTATTAAGACTAGAGATATGCCATCTTCAGAAAATATTTTTTTTTCTCTTCTCTTTCCTTTTCCCTCCCTCTCTGTGGGGAATTTGAATGAGAATGGCCCCCAAAGACTCACTTGTGTGAAGGCTTAGCCCATAGGGAGTGGCACTGTTTGGAGCTGTGGACTTGTTGGAGAGTGTGTCACTGTGGAGGTAGACTTCGAGGTCTCTTAAATGCTCAGACTATGGTCAGTGTGGTGTACAGTATCCTTCTGCTGCCTGCAGATCAAGACGTAGAATTCCTGGCTCCTCCAGCACCATGTCTCCCTGTACACTACCATGCTTTCCATCATGGTGATAATGGACTAAACCTCTGAAATTGTAAGTCAGTTCCAATTAAATTTTTCTTTAAAGAGTTGCCTTGGTTGTGGTGTCTCTTCACAGCAATGAAATCCTAAGACACTCTCCTTTTTCTCTCTTTCTTCTCCCCTACCCCAAATTTACTTTTCCATATCCCACCTTGCTGGGAATAGGACCCAGGTACATGTGCTAACTTGGGCTATATCCCCAGCATCAGAAGATGTTCTTGGTTTGATAAAAAGGTATGACAGAAATCAGATGAAGTATTTTCCAAATTTATTTATACCTTCGACTTGCCAGAAGTAAAGTCAAGTCTCAAGTTAAACTCAATAAAAAAAAATCCAGGATTTTCCCTTGTTCAAAAACATGTAATCGACAATCATTCCTAGAATCTGATGTAATATTTAAGTCTAGACTTTTAGTGGAAGCCAGCAAGTTAGGTGGTTTTCTGGAACCTGCTCTAATGTGTATCTCCACACACACACCTGTGACTCTGACAGGTTTTATGGACAGTTCCTATTCCTTCATTTTTCCTTATTTCCTACATCAGCAGTTTTCTCTTCTTTGGCCTCTAGAGAACAGGATATACTGGGAGCATAGCAGGGAGAAGGTAGGTTGTCATAATTCAAATAGCTCTTTAATAGCTTTTGGAATTTATTCACTTACTCATTATTTTGAGACAAGGTTTCAAGTATCCCTGGCTGGTCTTGAACTCACAAGATCTGCTCACTTCAGCCTCCTAAGTGTTAGGATTAAAGGCCTGTGCTACCTGACCACTCCCAGCTCATCTTCACTGTTAGTCTGTTAGTCAGAAATCTCTCGGCACTTTCATTTCAAACTTCTGTACTGATACTTCCCTGCTTTCTTTCTGTTTTCATCCCTCTCCTATTTAAGAAAAGAGAGAAAGCACTTGATATCTTGCTTATACTCATGAAATCAATGCTGTTCTGCAAATGTATTGCCAGATGAGAATCTGGCACCTAAGTTACTGCCTATCTTCACATTCACATATAAGCCTCTCATAGCTTCCTGTGTTTGCTTAGAAGGGCCCCAAAGGGCCTTACTATCAACAAAGCAGAAACGAATGCAAGCCCCTGATAATCTACTGAAGAAAATCCAAAGGCCCTTTCTCTTAAAAAAAAAAAAAAAAAAATCTGGAGAAATGGTTCAGCAGTTAAGAGTACTAGCTGCTCTTCCAGAGGTCCTGCGTTCAATTCCCAGCAACCACATGGTGGCTCACAGCTATCTGTAATAGGATCCAATGCCCTCTTCTGCTGTGTCTGAAGACAGCTACAGTGTATTCATATACAATAAATAAATAAATAAATAAATAAATCTTTTTAAAAAACCCAAAAACTTCAACAAAAGAAATTTTGTTAAATTGCCTTCTCTTTTTTGACGCTATTATAGTTTTTTTTAAAAAATTCTTCCACAAGACCCCATGAAGTACTGTACACATGATAAAACAAATATGCTCATATTTGTTTCTATATTTCTTTTTATGCACTTAAACAATACTGCAGTTTATCAAAAAACACAAAGAAATTTCAACTCTTATTCTCTGAGTTACAAAAATCAAGGTTTGGCTAAGTTATCAGCATGTTTTTCATGTAATTGTTTGCATAACTCTAGTAATGCTCAGTGGCTTAAGATCAGAACTGGTTCTTACAGAAACACCCAAAACATAAAAAGCCCCTGTATTTACCTGTAGAATACTCATTTATTCTTACACTCCAGGATTTGCTGTATCAGTTATAATTTTAAAGGTCACATCCAAAGGAGAAAGCAAACCACCTGTAAACTGGCATTATTTATTTAATTTTTGGCTTGTGAAACATCCTTAATTTGTTGATGTAGCAAACAGATTTCAACTCTGCTACGAAAATGAGAGGAGGAATCTGCTCAGCAATTAACTTTAGACTTTGATTTCATACAGGCAGCATGCTATATGTGAAAAAATTACTAACTGAACTACAGGTATTAAATACTGAAAAAAATTAAGTTTATTGTAATTTATTTTATTTAACAATCTAGGAAGTTCACGGCCACCAGCAGTTCCAGTGCAATCTCAGGTGCAATTGGGATTCAGAAATTTCAGTGGAGCTGTTAGTATAGCGAAACTTGCAGGTGAAATACATGCACACTTTTGATAGCACATGTGAAGGGATCTCTCTAAAATTGACCTCGTTGGTTTCATTCTCGGCAAACTGACCTGGACCACTCAACATGGCCTTTATTGTTCCTGATGTTAATGCATGTTCTCTTTTTACAATAAATTCATGACCATCAGAAGATATTAATTTAGCCGGGCGGTGGTGGCGCACGCCTTTAATCCCAGCACTTGGGAGGCAGAGACAGGTGGATTTCTGAGTTCGAGGCCAGCCTGGTCTACAGAGTGAGTTCCAGGACAGCCAGAATTACACAGAGAAACCCTGTCTTGAAAAACCAAAAAAAAAAAAAAAAAAAAAAAGATATTAATTTCATATCAGGACCTTCACAGCCACTGCAGGTTTTCCTCTCTCCATCCATTATGTTCTTATAAAACTCTATCTGATCCCAGAGGAACTTTAGTAGTTTCCTGGTGAGGCCGAGACGTGGTCTGCTAGTAAGCTGCATCCAAAGGAAGTGTCTATTTCTATATTTCTAATTTCTATATTTCTGAGTAACAGTGCCTGAAAACTCATGATATTAGCTCTAATTAAAAGCAATACATATGCCAGGCCTGGTGTCATAGATCTTTAGTCCCAACACTCAAGGCAAGCAGATATCTGTGAGTTCGAGATCAACCTGGTCTATGTATTGAGTTCAGGCCAGCCAGAGTTACTTAGTAAGACCCATCCAGTCTCTATAGCAAAAATGAAATAAAATACGTATTTCCTCAGAATCTTAAGGCAAGATGCACTAAAAAACGCGTTTCTCTGAACTTTTTTTCTTTTCTCTTCTTTTTTCTTTTTTTTAAAAATATATATTGGCACAGCCATATCCACTGAAAACACCGAGGGTCATGAAGCCAGCACAGCTGTTTGGCACAGTTCCAGCAAAGCTGAGCCACATGCTGCAGCTGCTGCTCTCCATTCTCTAACCATTGAGTTTTGGTCTCTGCATGCTGCATTCCTGGGGACTTTCTGCATTATGATTCATTTTATGCCTTTTCCTAAGAAAAATTGTGTCTGAGTCTTTTTAGGAAAATCTTAAAATTAACTTTATCTGGCCACTATTTGGAAGTCTTCCTTATGTCCTGGAGACCATTAAGCACAGAAAAACACATAGCTAGATGAGGCCACTGCTTAAGGAATCTTCTTGGTATATCCCCTGAGCAAACTCAAAACAGTATAATCGGTGCAAAGTAAACAGAGAGAATTGATAAACTCTGACTGGCCAGGAGAACAGGTTACAGATTCAAGGTCTCTTTTTATTATAGCTTAGAGCTCTCTGAAAATGTAGTTTAAAGATGGGGGTGGAGGGGGGCATACAGGTTACACTCCTGAAGGTATAAAACTCAGTAAATAAGATAGATTGACTAAAATAAACTTTTCCTACTTTATAGCATAGATGATGAAACATATAGTAAAAGAAGTTAGGTATTAGTATTTGCTATTCATAAAAAGACCATTTCGGATATTTTCTGTTTGTCTAGAGTGTTTTCAGGCTGTCATAATAGATGTGTTTGCTTTGGAGGAGACATTCTTTAGATTCTTTAAATTGGAGTTATAGGGCTCATAATAAAAATAAAATCTGGGCTGGAGAGATGGCTCAGTGGTTAAGAGCGTCAACTGCTCTTCCAGATGTCCTGAGTTCAATTCCCAGCAACCACATGGTAGCTCACAACCATCTGTAATGGGATCTGATGCCCTCTTCTGGTGTGTCTGAAGACAGCGACAGTGTACTCATATACATTAAATGAATAAATGAAAAAAAAAAAAACAAAATAAAATCTGTTTGTATTTTTTTAATTGGGACTGAACTTGTAACCTTGGACATACAATAAAAAAATCAAACACAATCTGTAATCATCAGTCTGTCTTTGTTCTGTGACTCCTGTATAAATAAAGAAGCACTGGATTGCTAGTCGGTCAGAGCTTCGAGATTCCCTGGACCACTGATACCAGACTCCCTCACGCCCCTCGACTACTTACCTCTTCTGCAAGACTCCCTGTCAAAGCACAGGGGAAGGTGCCCCCAGCAATATATTTTTTGTTCACTGGTGTTTTGCCTGCATATGTGTCTGTGTGAGGGTGTCAGAAGCCCTGAAACTGAAATTACAGATAGTGGTGAGCTGTCATGTGCGTGCTGGGTCCTCTGGAAGACCCAGTGCTCTTAACTGCTGAGTCATTTCTCCAGCCACCACTTTTTTTTTTCTAATTCAGTAAAGATGAGCAAGAATGGTTGAAGGTAAGGTCCCAGACTCTGTAATCAATGCCTAGAACTGCATTCTTCTACCTTCCCCCTCCCCATGCTACTCCCTAAAAGACAATACAACAAACGGCTACTAACATCTATCATTTTGGAATCATGGGAAAGAGAGTAGGTGGTTAATTATAAGTCTAGGAAGTTACATTAGACACCCAACAACTAAAATCATACCTTCCTAAAATAACTATTTTGTAAGCTTGCCATTTTCATAACTATTTTTAGAAACTTTCTTGCTAGATTTAGTCATTATTTCGTTTCAGAGTTTTCAGGAGAAAGGAGAGGGAAGCATCATGTAGTGCACATTTAAGTCTCTTTGTAGAAGACTTTTATATTTAATATATATATTTACATACATATATTTATATATAAAATTTGGAATGCTTCGCAAATTTGTGTGTCTTCCTTGTACAGGGGCCATGCTAATCTTCTCTGTATCGTTCCAGTTTTAGTATATGTGCTGCTGAAGTGAGCACATTTTTTTTTTTTTTGAGACAGGTTCTCACTATGTATGTAGCCCTGGCTGTGTTGGAACTCTCTATGTAGGCCAGGATGGCTTCAAACTCACTGAAATCCACTTGCCTTTGCCTCCCAAGTGCTAGGATTAAAGGTATGAAACACTACACTCATCTTAAGAAGACTAATTTTTTTATGTCTACTTCCTCCTTAAAATTATGTGAGGCTGTTTATTTCATTTCACTATATAATGCTTCCAGAGTGAAGAGACACATTGTTAGCTTTTTCTTCTAAAACAATGAGGCTCTTAACGTATAGTTTCTACACAGAAACACTGCTTATTTTTATAGTTGGTTCATGTTATTTCATATTATCCCATTATATGAATAGATAGATGAGTTTGTGTGATGAGCTCATGATTGGAAAAAAAGAACCCTAGAAAATCACAGACATCATTCTGAGGGTTTTTAGGAAATTTAACTGGCTTATCTTTAGAGTCAGATGAAACAAAGAAAGATCTTCCAACTATATGTATATTAAGTGGTGTTAAAATATTCTAAAAGGTATTCATATACCTGGGAAGAACTTTTATATATTTAAATTAAATTTCTTATATCATTTGATAAACAATGATACACATACACATAAAATCAATAAGAAACTAAAAACATTTTTTAAACAAAAATCCATTTGGTTAGTCTATTTCTTTTCCTTTGAAAATGCAAAGAATTTACTTCTTTAAACCAACAAGATACTTCATTAATATAATTAAGGAGAAAACAAGAAAATTCAGGGAATAGAGAAAGAAGACAGTTAGGTAGGGAAGTCAGAGAACATTCCCCTATTCCTTGACAAAGGACAGGACAATATGCACCTGTTTCATACGGCCTCAATCAAGCTATTTCCTCTTAAACGACATAGTTAATTTAGCCAAAGGCAACATGGTTGACTGATTACAGGATTTGCCACTCAGTACAATGCCTGTGGCTTAGTGTTATTTTAGATTCACTTCTTAAAAAATGAGAATTTCTATGAGAAATAACAACAAGTAAGGTGAAGGTGCTGACTGAATGCTAATAATGTAATTACATTATCAGCTATTTCATGTTTCAAATAGGTCATGCCACTTTCATCAATATTTTATTTCAAAGCTTTCCATTCCAATTTTGAATTGCATTAACAAGAGTTAAAAATTAAATTTAAAATGCTTTCAAGAACTCTTATTTTCTTCCTAAATATTTTAAAAACACAATGCAGAGAAAGAATAGAAACATTGAAGTGCCAAGAAGCTAAGGATTAACATTTTTGTTAACTTGGCACTGTCTGTGAACATTTAGGATAGGCTAATAACTGGCTTACATCTAAGATGGGAAGTGGTAAAGCATTACTGTTTCCATTATCCCCATTTTGCTGAGAGATTACTTTCCTTTCAGTGGAGGTCAAAAGTAAAATTTAACTCAGTAAGAATGATTCTAAAGGAATGTTAAATATGACAGTACTTACTTATCAACCTGACAACTAAATTAACTAAAACCCCCCAAATGGAGGTGTTCACCAGTGAGGTGTTTTTGCTTAATTTAAAGTGGGAAGATCCACTTAAAATCTAGATCTTTGAGGTGGGAAGATATACCTTTAATTCAGATATTTTGAGGTAGGAAGACCACTTCAAATCTGAGCCATGTTTTCTGCTGGAAGTCTACTCCATAAGGACAGAAAGAAGGAAGTTTCTGCTTGTCTGGTTGCTCTCGCCTTGCTAGCAAGTCCATTCCTTCAATGACATTAGAGCCTACTTCTTCAGGATTCCAATGTCTACTGAAGACCAGCTGAGATATCCAGATTCACGGACTGAGCAACTAGTGGATTCCTGGACTTCATGTTGCTGGACAGCATTCCTAGACTAGCTGGACCACAGCTTATATATCATACTAATCCCCTTTCTATATATATATTTATTCTATAAGTTCTGTTCCTCTACAGAACCATAATACACTGCTTAAAAACAAAAATTATAGCATGAGTCTGGAAAAGAAGTTAAATGCTTTTAGAATAAAATGGTTATATCATACTATTACTGAACCACCTTCAGAAATGTATAGTTGTGAAAATTTGTTATTGTCCTCCTCTGAAGTGTATTTAACTAGTGGTTGTGTTATAGAAAGTATCAGAAGAAACAGTCTTCAGGCTAAGGCCCTAACCCCAAAGCACCTGGGAGATTCACATGTAACCTACTGTACAAAGACAATATTACTTAATGAAAGAAGCCAGGACCTAAGTCAACAAATAGCATGCTTCATCACTAATGACAAGTTTTACCTCTTGAGGAAGTTCTAATTTAGACCGGTCAGTTCCTTCTTTTGACTGAAGTCCCATCAGATAAGGGACAGGGGCATCAAGAAAATGTAGCAGAGAAGCAGGGAGGATGGGTACATAAACATGCTGCCATTGAAAGGGGAACAAGAGTGTGGTAATGCCTTCTGCCACAGTCATCAGGCGCTGATAATCTGTACAGAACAAGAGAAATAAAAGGGAAGAATCCAAGTGAAACAATTGCTGAAATGAGCCTAAAATATTACAAAAATCAGTGTTAAAATAACTATTTTGGACTGGAGAGATGGCTCAGTGGTTTAGAGCACTCACTGCTCTAGCAGAGGACCTGGGTTTGATGTCCAGTACCCATATGATAGCTCACAGATGTTAGTAACTCCAATTCCAGAGGATCTGACATGTTCTTCTGACCTCTGAGGGCACCAGACACATGGTACACACGTATGATGAAGCCTGTAGATAACATGCATATATGTATGCACTTATATATATGCACTGTCACACATAAATAAATAAATCTTTTTTGAAAATTGAGAAATACTTCTTTATGATCATGGAAAAAGTAGTCCATCATAATCAAAGAGTTAAATTATTTCCCCCCGAATAGCTGTAGAAAGTTGGAAACACCATCACCACTCTTTGCTTCTTGAAATCAGTAGTATGTGAGTAATTTGGATTCTCTCCTTCTCCTCCCCAGCTCCCTGTCTTTCCAGGGTCTTACTATGTAGACCAGGCTGGCCCAGAACTCACAGAGAGCAGATTGATCCCTGCTCTGCCTCCCCAGTTCAGGGATCAAAGTCATGTGCCATTAGACATACATGGAGGAATCAGAAACTAATAAAATTGTTCTTGGTATCTAACCTATTGAAAAAGTACAAGACTGTTGCTATCACTTTCATACATACATATAAACATACACACACACACACACACACACACACACACACACACACACACATATATATATACACATTTTATACATGTGTGTATATGTATATAAATACATAACACACACATAAATAATTTCCAATTCAGAAGCTAGTTATTCTTTTCTTGTATAAATGATCAGGGCTATAGCTTTAATAAGCTGATTATATTTATTTTAGCACTTACTTTGTATAAAAAAAATCAACAGATGTAGGTAGTCATAGTCACACTATCTATATTTAACTCCTAACTACAGAATATCACCTCTAAGGATAAAAAGAATTGCCATGATCAAAGACTGAAGTTTTGTTTGGGTTTGAGACAGAGTTTGTCTGTTTAAAAGCCCCTGGATGTCCTAGAACCCATTTTGTAGACCAGGCTAGCCCCCAGCTTACAGAGATCCACCTGCTTCTGTCTCCCCAGTGCTGTGATTAAAGGTGTGAACTACCACACCCAGCTCTGGTTGTGTTTTCTTTACATGGACTAATTTATTTATCAAAACTAGCTACTGTCCACAATATTATGCTGCCCTCTTAAGCAGTCTGCCATATTTGTTTGTACTTACGCATGTTCACAGTCCCTATTTAAGCCCTTGGAGGCAAACAGATGTGTTTTATAATTAGACTTTTTTTTTGTTTTGTTTTGTTTTTCAAGACAGGGTTTCTATGTGTAGCCCGGGCTGTCCTGGAACTCACTCTGTAGACCAGGCTGGCCTCGAACTCAGAAATCCATTTGCCTCTGCCTCCCAAGTGCTGGGATTACATAAAGGCGTGCGCCACCACCGCCCGCTTAGACTTTTTTTTAAGTTTGAAAGGAAGATCATAATCTATGACAGGGATACAGCCTGTAGATAACAGTAATATTTTCAGAGCAAGTCATGTGAGTGTTCTATAGGGCACACACACACACACACACACACAGACAGACGGGGGGGGGGGGACTATAAATAAGTTTACTTTGGATCTGATCTGGTTTTGCTGATAAACCAGTTACAAAGACTTGAGAATTGAAGAAATTATGGATTTGTAAGAATTTCACAGAATTCTGTGTGCACAATTACAGTAAAACTGGGGGAAGCCTTTATAACTGTCTTTTGCAAAAGGTTGAAGAAAATGATCAGATGTTACTTATCTCATTTGACCAAGCATAAAAAAGATGTTTTCCACTTAAAAATTTTTTGTGCCATTTCATCATTAAAAGTTTTTAAAGATTTATTTTTATTATTTTAAATTTATGTGTATATGAGGAGCAAGACTGTATACATAATTGCACAAGAGGGTGCTGGATCTCCCTGGAGCTGGAATTACAAGTACTTGTGAGCTGCCTTATATGGGTGCTGGGAATTGAACTGGTCCTCTATAAGAGCAGAATATGTTCCTAACTGATGCTGGAGGCAGCCCAGAGGCTGGCAGGGGACCCAGACTTGATTCCTAGCACCTACGTGGTGGCTTACAATCATTCATAACTCTACAAGATTCAATGATCTCTTCCTTTTTCAACATAATATTTTTATTGATTATTTGGAATTTTTGTATAACGTACCTGATTAAATCTACTTCTCAGACCTCCCAGGTCCACCCCCACCCCCCACTCTGTGATCGCCCCCAAAACAAAAGCAGAAAAAGAAAAAAATTCCAAGTCTAATTTAAGTTCCCCATATACTTATTGGAGCATGGTCAAACTTGCAGTGGCAGCCCCTTAAAGAAAACTGAGTCCTCCCTGACCCCTACTCCCACCAGCAGCCAACAACTATGAAGAGCTGCACTTCGGTAGTAGCCCTATCACAGTGGTTTCCTTCACGACCTCTTCTTATATCCAAGGGCACCTTGCATGAATGTGGGACATAGATACAAATGCAAGCAAAACATCCATTCACATAATTAAGAAAAATTTAAGTTACATTTATTTATGTAATTTATGTAACTGGAGAAGGGGTTGGAAGACAACCTCACAGATCTGGTTCTTCTCTACCCCTATGCGAGTCCTGAGGACTGAATTCAGGCAAGCACCTTTACATGCTGAGTTATCTCACAGGCCCATTCCACAGCCCCGTCTCTACTTGAGGCAAAGACTTTTAGTAGATATTGTATTTTACAAATATAGTGGATAATCACGCTCTACTGCCCGAACTAGATGCATTCTGGCACCATGATTCTACATATTCCTTTGCTATTCAACCTGTAATGAAGGAACCACTCATTCTATCTTTATTGAACACAATCATTTTAAAGAGATTACCTCTATTATCTACAATACTGTAGGAATGTAGTTTAGTAGTAGAGCATTTGCCTAGTATGCATGTGATGCTGGTTCTCTCTGTCTGTCTTTGCCTCTCTCTCTCTCTCTCTCTCTCTCTCTCTCTCTCTCTCTCTCTGTGTGTGTGTGTGTGTGTGTGTGTGTGTGTGGTGTGTGTGATCTTATAGATCACACAGTGGCAGTGCCTGTTATTCTTTTGTGGTTAATTTCTACAGAAGAGCATGGCTTAGACGTGAGCATCAGATCAGTCTGTAAAACATCAAGGGCTACCTGTGAGAGAAGATCAGTTCTAAGACATCAGTATCTGATTTTATATTTCTTTATCCATCATATGCCAGATAATGTAAAAGGCTGGCTAGGAGTTTTAAGCAAATTATGTGCCAATTATCTATTAAATGTCTTTCGGCTCCAAATCCATTCAATTATACTTGGCCGGCCTCCAACCATTCTGACAATGAATACAGTATTAACCTTTGCCAGCAGAGGGCAATGGAGACACACCACAGGGTGTAAATTTTTTTTTTCCCCTTTCTGGTCCCAGAGTGCAATCTGTCTTGCTATTGCTGTATGACCAGCGGTATGGGTATTTGAAGACATCTGGTAGCACATTGCTATGCCACATGCCAAGAATGAACAGTTAATGGATACCGCTTACGGTCCTCTAATACACTGTATATTCATTCAGACTTCACACCACAGTGATATTCAACAAATCCTGTGGGTCTGTTCACCAGTCACAGACAACATGGGTCTTGGACTTTGTCTTCTGTTAGATCAGTGACTAAGGATCAGCTCTGGTCTCCAGGCAACATATTGATAAGTAACCTACTGGTCTCCATACTTTATGAATAGAATTTCATCAATGAGGTATCCACTACAGCTCTCGGGTATGGTCTCTTACTTAAATGTGTTTCATTGAGTATCCTTCAGAGTTTATTTTACAGGCTATTTTCTGATACAGTTTAGTAATAATTCATATTACATTCCTCTGCCTAAATTACTTTATGGTTTCTGTTTCCTAGCTGAACTTCAACTAAAAGGTAAAGGGATTTGAACAGTTAAACTCAATTCCTATCAAGCTGGCTAGTTTATTTGTGGTTGGGGAAACATACAGTTTTCTGGAAAACACACTTTCTTCAGGTAATGGTGGTTTGTAATGTGGGATATTTTCTTGCTTTATTTATAGAAACACCATGGGAAGTAAAAATAAATTACACATTTTTCTCCCCTCCCCTGGACTTTAAAAGACAAGGCTCATTTTCCCTCCAGTCCTATTTCCCACTTGTAAATGCTCTATGATCAATCTTTTCAGTTTTAAATTCTCTACAAGATTGGTAGATATATCATACTTTCTAGTAATGAAATCAATTGGCAGAAAGAACATTTCTTTTAAGTGGATCAAGAAGTAAGAAGCAGGGGCTGGTAATACAGTCATGGCAATGCTTTTCTAGCATGCACAAGGCCTCTGTATTCAATCACTAACACAGAAAAAAGAAATGAGAAAGGTTTTCTTTAAACATTTTTTTTGCATGTGTATATGTGTTAATACATATGCATGCCAGAGGTTGATATCAAGTGTCTTTCTCAGTTGCTTTCCATCTTATTTAAGAGATAAGGTCTCGGCCAGACTAGTGGCGCATGCCTTTAATCCCAGCACTTGGGAGGCAGAGACAGGTGGATTTCTGAGTTCGAGGCCAGCCTGTTGGTCTACAGAGTGAGTTCCAGGACAGCCAGGGCTATACAGAGAAACCCTATCTCGAAAAACAAAACAAAACAAACAAAAAAGAGATAAGGTCTCTCACTAGAAATCACCACTTTGGCTACACTGGCCGACCACTGACCTCCAAAGATTTGTTTGCACTACTCCCTTCCTCAGAGCTGAAGTTACAGGTGTGTACCATTGCAATTGCCTTTTACAAAAATGACAGGGATTTCAACTGAGGTACTCATGCTTACCTGGCAAGCACTCTATTGGCTGAGCTATCTCCCCATT